AATTCAACCTCCCGATCAAAGCACCACTAACTTAAAAGTTATATCAGGTTGCTTAGGGCCTTGTCCGGTCAAGTTCTGAAAATGTTCAGAATGGATGTTCTACAATTTTTCTGGGCAACTTGTTAACAGAGCTTAACCACTCCCGGAGCTGGCATTTAATGTGAGCAGGCAAAAGCGTTATGCTTCTTGTTTGTTTAGTTTTTTGTGAATTTTTTTGTTGTTCGTTTCTTAAGCAGAGGGACTGCTTCTTAAATGGAAGTTACTGCCTGCTACAGGAAACATATTGGGAAGGTGAGCTTAGCAGTATGTGAGTTCTTCGCTATTTCTTCAGAAGAAAACATGGCAGAAGAAAATTAGATAATCAATTCTACCTTATTCAGAAGATTTCTGGTGTGTGGGGAATCCTCAGGTTGCTCTGGCAGCTGAGAACAAGGTAGCTTCAATAAGCCCTAAAACCAAAAATTAATTACAAATAGTTACATATTGTTGCTTAAAATTAATACTGAAAAGCACATTGAATGCAGTTTGTAACTCACACAGTTAAAGTATTCCTTTTTATTACTTTCAAAGTTCAATCGATGGATTCATTGTAATTTAATATCTTTTTACCAATATCTAATCAAGGAACTTTCACAGAGTGCAGGCAATTAAATTTATTTTTTATTATGCAATTCAAACATTTGTAGAAATTATGCTCCTTGAGAAATGTTCTTTGTACTGTTATTCAAAGTAAGCCAACATTGTGTACATCCTTATAAGTTACAATCCAGCAACTAACCCTTTAGGGGTTTAAAACCCTTTAGGTTTTAACATCCTTAGAGAGTGCCTTGCCTTGCACACTTGGCCTTCTTGCCCTCTAATCACTGCTTCACTTTAGCACTTGCATAAAAATGGCCCACTTTCTTGCCTAGTAGATTCTTTGTGGCCTGTAAGCATACTTAGATGTTAATGCCTAGATGGTTTAAAGAGTAAATAAATCAGCATAACTAGCTCCTGTCATGTTAAGAAAACATTATGAATGAAAGCACAGCTAAATTAAATCTTCTAGATTAGGCAGGCTTTTACATATTTGTGCACATATACGTATTGCATTATGCATGAAAATTAGGGTAAGCTTCAGCATGATTTTATATCTGCTCAAAGGGTGGCTGGAGTACCTTTTTATAGCTTTTTCACAGCTTTTCATTGCTTCTGAAAAACTATACCAGTTTGCACACCTGAGATGCTGTTTGCAGTGCTACCAAAATTTTTCCCACATTCACAAATGCCAAAGACTGTCTTGGAACAATTGCAACAAAAAGAAGAGCTAGCAAAACCTTGAGAGAACTATCTCATGTTAGAATTCCTAGCTCTATTCAACACTTCCTGAAATCAGGTCTATCTAACTAAAAATTTCCTTTGGAAATAATTTTACAATGTGCAGGCTTTGTTTCTAAGGAGAATAGAAACAAAAAATCAACACGACAGAACAAAATTCAGATGAACAAAAAATTTCCATTAAAAAATTGAAATGCAATCCCTGTCTTCCAGATAGACACACATATATATGCAGACATGCATATAAATGCTCAGCCAACATACTTAACAAAGATTAACAAAACCCAGGTTACCAGAAGAAAAAAGTTTCTTCAACCTCCTTTTAGTAAATGTACAATCAGTAGCAGCCCAGCAATACTGTCGAGCACTACTGCACCTCCCCACTCTCCATAAGGCTGTCAAAAAATGCAGCTGGTCATTAATAACTGGCCATCCTTGGTAGCTTCCTTGCAGGCCCGTTCAAGTGTCCAGCCCCCTCTTCTTGTGACATGACTAGTGGGGCCACCACTAGACAGATGAGGAGGCTGGTGAGCTGGCCCTTCCTTGCTCGCCTTTGTCATTGTAATGGCTGTCCCCTTATCCCTGCAGTGCTTCCTGGGCTGAAGGAACCTGGTGCTGATTTGATCAGGGTTTACACGCAACCTTCTTCTCCTCAGGGGTTAGAAAATCTCTAAATGGGAAACACCCACAACAGATTTTACTCGTCAGTAGGATTAAATTCCCAAAACATTTTTTATTCCCTGCTGTACATGTGTGCACACATATGCATACACAGAATTTTATTACCCAGGCCCAATTCACACCCCATCACCTCATGGTGTCCCCTTACCAGGAAATGTTTATCATAATTCCTGTTCTTTTGCTATATACAATAATTAATTACCCTTCATTACATATATACTTGAAGAAGTTTTAACTGAGGTAACAAAATTCATAACATGAATTTGGGACTACTAGTATCATTCATCTTCTACCAAGTTGCTATTTTCCCTTTTCAACGGGGTTCCACGTTATAAAACTTAAATCCTCTGGGTTTACATTTACTTTTAATTCACTGAGATTTTAAATCTACAAGTCAAAATATGAGCTGCAGATCTTGTTACATCACACTCCTACATTGCACTTAAGCTTAAATTTTGCAGCAAAATTAATTCTTAACATTCAGTGTGTGCAAATTAGTTGTTGGTAGCTAGTGGTGCAACTTTTCTTTCTTTAAACTTCCTGCCCTGTTTGAATATTAACTAATAACAGTGCATTACTTGAAGCTTTTTAGCTTTCATTTATATCCATTTGCAATCATATCATTTTTAGCGATAAGGTTGGGTTAAGACACTTGTGGGAATGTATTAACCTTTTGTTCAGGAAGAGATGAGACATTGCTTGCACCTGCTCTACAAATACACACTGGGTTTTCTTATGTTAATCAGGCACACTTGAATCATATAAAAACTTCAGTGTGGGTGTATAGATACAACTAAGATGCTTACATTTAATACTGCTCAAACAAGTAGTGATGATGACTCACAAGTTCTATATACCCGAGGAAATGGGATTAATCCTCTCAAACAGTATGTCCCTACTGTACTTCCATGAGAGAGAATTGTGTTTGGATGAAGGCGAGGATCAGAGAAAGGCACTGCGCTGAGATACGCAGGGACTGAAGTCTCAAGACAAGTAACAAGGGCGTTATATGCAGCTGGTTACAAAGTTCCCCAGGAAATACTGCACTCGGGTTCTGACTGAACCCTGTTACTCTCAAAGAGTACCTTTGAACCTTTTCTCCTCTCATGCCCTTAGATCTACTTCAGCTGGTAACTGTTCCTCTTCTGAGCCTATGTGTCTCTTTCTGGTCACTAAAGTATTAGTAAAAGATTTATTCTTTTCTAGACCACATTGAGAATACTGCATCCAGTTTTGGGCCCCTCCGTACAGGAAAGACACTGATGGTCAAGTTGGGCTGGAGCTGGAGCCCTGTGAGGAG